TGTTCGTTATCTGCATAATGCTACATATATGTATGCAAACTTATTTTCTATTGTGGCAAGATTAGTTTAAGAAGTAAATGACATTGATTGACACACTTTAATGAAGATGCGATGATTTAGGAGGAGTTTAGAATGCAATGTGTTAATTATAAATTTATAAATTAAATTATTTATGAACAAATGTAATTTATAGACAAGAGGCTATGATTTATATATCAGCTACATTTTTTACAAAATTAATATATTGAATAATTTAAATAACATAAATAATTTAAATTATTTAAATAATTTAAATAATTTAAATGATTATTTAAATTATTATTTACATAATTATTATTTAAATAATTTAAATTGAACATTTTTTGAATCTTTTCTCTTTTTTAATTCTCTTTTTCACTCTATATAATAATATATCTAAAAATAAATTTTCCCAAACACATCTTTATAAGCTTTCTTATTTTCTTCATAATAACTTCATGTGCAAAATGCGAACATTTTTATCTTACAAATGTATGAGATGTGTCACTAATTATTTTAATAAATAATATTATATAATAAAAAAGTATTAATGTAGCATTTTAAATTACAGTTATTTTAATTTTAATGACATGATACTTACGTTGAATTGATAAAAAATTTTCCAGCTTATTTACCTCTCTGTAATTTATCTTCATACATAAACTGAGGTAGTAACGTTTCATCATGATTACAAAGAACAGCCTTCGAGCAATCGTAATTAGTGACCCACCTGATGCGACGGCAATGTGCAATGCATTGCAAAAATCTCGAGTTTGGGCTGTCTCATGCATTTCGATTGCAGTACTGCAAAATAAAGCTATAATTGGAGCGATAATAATAAATGGCAACGCTTATATCAGAATGCCAAAGTATCCATAATCACGCGATACGCGATAATCGTTCACAATATGGTACTCAATGCGCCGGTAAATTCTGTCAAACTTGCCGTCGTTAAGATAGATACGCATGGAAGGCTTACAAAAATTACGCTAATAAAATTCAAATTTTGCATCGAACCCAATAACTAAAGACCGATCGGTTTCTTTACTCCTAAGCAGGTCGTTGATCTTATTTTGTTTCTTTTCTTTGTTTTTTCTTTTTTTTTTTGTTTTTTTGCGAATATACACAGAGGCCTTAATAGCGGGTTGCGGTCCTACCACCACTATTACGTGCTTAGTGGCAAGTGGCTCGAAGGCACTTTCGCCTGAGGGACTCGTGCGGCGACGGACAGTGCTTGGAGCTCCTTCTACTCCTTAACAAGTGTATATTATACACGAAATGCATACGGGGTGTCCTCGAAAACACGCAATGTTCTGAAGCTTTTACTAGTCGTCAAATGAGGTCTACGAATTTTAACATTTTCAATTCTTTTTAGTACTTGTACACATGTTCTTTTGTAAATTATTCGTTAACTTTCTAATTTTTTTATTAGAATTGTGAGTTTTAATTAAAAATTAAAATATTTATATTTATATTTAAATATTTATATTTATATTTAATATTTATATTTATATTTATATTTATGATCAAATGGTAGTTTCCTAATTAATTCCTGCAATTAATTCTTACAAGAAATTATTCACAAGAAATTATTTACAAAAGCTGATAGAAATTGCCGCAAGATTCGAAATACACGAATTCTGAGACACCTAGTGTAAGGTATTACATATATAGGGACTAGGGGAGAGAGAGAGAGGTCAGAGCCTCGATAAGGCCTATTATCGCCTTGCGAAAACTCTTAAAGCGACAAAGTGAGATCAAATTTTAAATTGTTAGAAGATACATCAAAAATCAAAGAAAGCCTAAAATTACACTATCAACGAGTAAAGAGTTCAATTTTAATCAGCATTAATTATTTAAATGCATTAATGTGAAGCACTTAAAAAATACATTAATAAGAGTAAATTGACATTTTAGAAAACAAATTATTCGGTTACGGAAACTCTACTCGACAAAAAAATGAAGAATTAAAACAAAATTAGTTTTTAAGCTCTAATCTTTAAAATTACTCAAATAAGTTTTCAATTAATCAATAAATTTTACATGTTTATTTAAAATGTCACATATTTTCATTCCGCGAAAGCTATCTATTCATTTCGATTGCTCAAATAAAATATTTAAAAATCTTTATTTGAGATCAAAATATAAGAAATTAAATTATCTTCTATATTACATTAAATCATAAAACTAAATGATATTATAAAAAATAAAAAAATATAAATGTAAAAAAGAAAATACAAATATTTTAAAAATCATCTTTGATTTCAAAGATTGTATATTTAATTTTATAAAATTAAATTTTTTATTTTAATCGATTTTTATTCATTTATATTTCATAAAGATTTATACTAAATTTTTTTTGTTAAAGATGATTTTCTTGTAGCAAGTACGAATTGTTGAATAAAATAATATACATATATGTATATCCATATGTGTAAAAGCCAGTTACATAATTATTACTTCATTATTACACACGCTCACAAATATATATATATATATATATATATATATATATATATAAAGTTACATGATACTCGCGTTAGCAATGATGATACGATGCAATACAATGCATCTACAATATATACAGGGTGTTCATTTAAAATTTCCACCATATTTATTTAATAATCACTAATTTTTGCCAAAAATGCCAAATATATATATATATATATATATATATATATATATATATATAAAGTTACATGATACTCGCGTTAGCAACGATGATACGATGCAATACAATGCATCTACAATATATACAGGGTGTTCATTTAAAATTTCCACCATATTTATTTAATAATCACTAATTTTTGCCAAAAATGCCAAAAAAGATCACTATTATTTTTAAGAAAGACGTAAGTGCGATAAATTTAACGGTATCACTTGATCTCCTTTGTTGGGAATTATCTCTTTAAAAATCTTAAATGAGAATAGGGATTAAGAGGCACATTATTTTGAAGTTTTTTTGACTCTCTTTATAATCGTATTTGTTTTCTTTTAAATTTAAGTAGACATTTTTCGAAAAATTACATCTGAAAGCTTTAAACATCTGAAAAAAATTCTTTTAAAAATAATTATAAACAATTTGAAATATACAGTTTGGAATATAATTTATTTACTTTACAGTTTCATTTATTGCAAATGTCCAAAATGTTCCGTTGTTTGCTAAATAATAAAAACAATTCTCAAATTTTAAATTTTAAAACATTTTAGAAGGTATCTGCTTTACATTTCTTTGATGCATATCATATTTTCCATTGGAGTTTTATAAACAAATTTTAATTTCCACAGAAAAAAGTCCACATGAATTATGTTTGAAATTTTAAAGGCTTGTTAGCTTCTTTTTTATCAATCTATTTCTGTAAAAATTGATAATTTAATTATTGTTGAAATGATAATGCAAATATAACACACTGTTATATTCGAAAGATTAAGAGAACAGGATTTAACATAAACAAAAAGATTAAGCGAAAAATTAGCGTTGCTTCTAGAGGAATAGTTAAAATTCGTTATTTATAAAACTCCTAACTGAAAATTCTGAACAATTTATATCAAAGTATTGTACGGGAATGTAATTATTCGCACAAATACTTTCGAACACGTTCGTTTAGAATTTAAGATTCATCTTTATTATTTAGTGAATAACAAAAAATATTTTATACATTTCTTATAATAAAAGAAACTGTAAAGTAAATAAACTATAGTCTAAATTGCTATATTTGTTAATTATAAGTTTTTTGTATTTAAAATTTTCAAGTATGATTTCTTGAAAAATTTAAAAAACAAATTTAAAAATAAAACAGGATGTGTACTGAAAATCAAAAGAACTTTAAAATCACTAAATAATTCTCTCATTTAAGATTTTTAAAATAGAAATTATCCCGACAAAGGAGATGAAAAGACACTGTCAAATTTATCGCATTTATATATCCCTCTTGAAAATAAAATTAACTTCTTTTGACATTTTTTGTAAAAATGAGTTGGTCACAAAAATAAACAAAATAAAAATGAACACCTTGTATACATCGGATGGATTGCCGAGAAACGCTAAAGTTAATTTACTTGCCAAGGAAAACATGATCGGTGTCGTGTATGAAATATTATCATTCGTGGTAATTAACTTTGAACAAACCTTATTTTGTGCAATGACGATAAAGATCTTACCGCAGCCTGGCGCCATGAATAATGTTATCTTTTACCAAGTTATACAACGAGTTTTTGCAACATGTATATCAAATCTTGCAAAAAAATGATTGCAACTCGACTTACATTGTATTTGATAATTAATTGCAAAAGATTTGTAATTTACATGCGTTATATCACATATGTCACATCTTGTGCATATTAATTGACTACTATGTACAATATGATATTCCTGATGATAAATTTTAAAATTAGAATTTTTTTCTATTTATTTTTAGATTTATAATATATGCCATAAGAACTCAAATATTTTTGTAATTGATAAATTAAATAATTAAATTAATTAATAATTAATTAAATTAAATTATTGTAATTAAATTAATATTTTTGCATGTAAAATTAACATATTAATGATACATCTAGTTAGAGATCTTGAATAAACTTGAGAAAAAATTAATCAAACTCGTATTAATATTTTTCTCGTAAAAATATAAATAAGAATAAGTTTTAGAAAATCAAATAAAAATATTTAAAATTACATAGGAATAAAATATATTAATAATGTTGAAAAAATATAAATAAATTATTTATAAATATATTTATAAATAAATTATTATTAATAATGATTAAAAAATTTAAAATAATAATTAAACATAACAATACATGCTCAGAGAATTCAGACAAATTATATATCTTTAAATAAATATAGAAAGAAGAATTATAAAATAATATGACATGCTATTATATGAATTTTACTTTCTTATACTATTATTATACATTTATTTGTCTCGAACGAATATTTTGTATTTATCGAAGAATGTAAAATGAGCAAAAAGACTTACGTGGTTGCGCCAAGGCAAAGACGCTTTCCGTTTTGGCGGTGTACTCGTCAATCTCTTCGTGGTGCGTGATACCAGGCTCGAGTGGTGGCTGATCAGCCTGCATCCCGTACATGTCCATCAGTTTCGAGATCGGTGGGATTCTTGGCAGCGCCCGACCCGTCATGTTAGGCGCCTGTTTCAAACCGAGTTTATTCAGGATCTGTTCTTTGATAGCCTCCAAACTGAGCGCGCGGATCTCCTCATGCATCCTGCAGGCGTTGCAAGCGTTACCGGCCATCGCCAAGTGCCGAACATGGGTTCTCTCGATGCCGGGGGCGTCGAAGGCACCGAGGAGGACCAACGAGAGTAATAGCAGCGCCCTCGTGACCATTTTGTTCAAGGTCGCCCTTGGTTGAATCAACTACGATCGGCCTTCGTCACGACAGGAATGATCAGATGATCGATAGCATCATCGCTCGCTCTCCTCAAATTTGTTTTACCTTTTCTGCGGATCTTAGATTTTCTCGTAATTTTGTTTTCTTTTCGATAATAAAGTCGTTGATCTTCGATCCTTATAAATTTTCCCTTCTATTTATGTCTACTTCTTTCTGCGTATCTCCGGCTATCTTCACGAAAAAAAGTCTTTTTCCTTGTCGTAACGTCTTCTGTAACTTCTTCCTGAACTTGCGCAACCATATGTTCTTCTCTTGCACAAACTTCCTGGTCCCCTTATCGTGCCCTGACGAAGACGATGCTCCGTCGCAAGAAGGCGACCGGCCTCGATCGCAATCCAGTTTCGCTTTCTTCCTTCTTACGTCGTGAAGTTATTAACTCGGAACTTTATGAAATTTTTGACAACGAAACAAATCTTTTCGGCTTATGCAGAAAATATGGTGAAAAAGATATTCAGATATTTTTCGAGCGATTTGCTCCACTTTTTATGGTGTTCACCAATCCGTTCTCACGCACACCAATCACTGCAAGAGAGAGAAAGAGAGAGAGAAAGAGAGAGAGAGAGAGAGAAATCACAAGGCACTTTAGAATATCTCGATATTTTGTGTAAAGTGTCCTGGATAGTCTGGAGATCATATGACTTGGGGTATCTTCATGATCTTCAGCAGCAGCTTATTATTTTCCAAAACACCGCGTGATCGTTCAGTGACAGATCCTGTTTCATGTCAGTTCATCGGCTTTAGAATCGTCATCATGCGAAATCTGATCTGATTACCTCAATTTTTGACGTTAGAATAAATTCTACGTCCCTCACTCGTGTCGCGCGACTATTCGCCTCTTTTCCTGATCGCAATGTTACACTTTCGGTACTCTGACTCGGCCGGCACCATCAGGTATACTATTGTCGCGGATACCAGTCTCCCATGCTAATTACCCTCGGATCCGGGAATACCAATCACCACTAATATATCCAGTCCAAATCCCGAAAAAAAATCAGGTGACGAAAGAGGGTGATCGTGTGCGAGGGGCAGCGATGTGACGGACTGGTAGAAACCCAATGGATCCTAAGAGCTTGCCGGCCTGTCAAGCACTGAGACAGGAGGCGCGAATTCTCACCGCATATATGTCCGAGGTGGAGGCCTTATCCTCTCTACTTCTTCTTTCTTCTTCCCCCTCCCTCCCTCCCTCTCCCTCTATCCTCGCTGCTACTTTGCCATCTCCCTCCTTCGCGCGAACTGCTCTCTTTCTCCGTCTCTTCTCTCCCGTAGTATCTTACGCACTCGTGTTGTAGCCGAACGTATATCTACACCCGCCGCCAACAAATGCTCCCCTTTCCTCCCTCTGCCCACCTCCTCCCTCGTTATTCCCCGCCGCTCCCAACCCTTTCCGTCACCGCCACCGCTGTCGCCGTCGCCGTCGCTGCCGCCGCCGCCGTCGCCGCCGCCGCCGCGAATACCGCCCCCCCTCTATTGCCCTCTTATAAGCCCGCGCGCTCGAGCGTCGCACCCGGCGCGACCATATCCCACCGTTCCTCATGTACGAACCTCTTCTTCGTCCCCTCTCGCCACCGCGATTCCCTCGCGAAGTACGCTTAGCTTCGTTCTTCCCTACGCGCCGGTTTGCAAATCGTTGCCCGACAACGCGACAGTCCGTCAAAGATCGTCACGATCGCCGAGGGATTCACACGGGGACCGTCGATCGTGCCGCTCGTGCGTTAAAATATACAGGCCTGCAAAAAAGGGGGTCAAAATTTCTTTTTAAGATGCAATAGTGATTTTTGATGTAATTTTGTGCGCTCCGAATCTGGCCGCCGAATTTGCGTAGCACGTCAGGTTTTTGAGTTATTTGTAGTTGAATAGCCCAAAAATCGCTATTTTGGGTCAAAAAATTTTATCGGAAAGATAAATATGTGTATACTGAGCGCAAGACGCGCTTTTAGAAGATCGTCTGTCTACAAGCATCTGTATCTACTGACATAAATGGTGCGATATTTGATATGAAATTATGGATTATTATTATTATATATTCTTTTTTTTAAAGAATTATTTTCTAATAATGTCACATATTAAGCACAATGAGATTGAAAAATGTATACGCATTTTCCAAATTTTATTTCATTTCTGTTATGACAAGTAAAAAAAATCAATATTTATATAATTTTTATATTCTTGAAATTTATTAATTGCTACTTAATGAATTATTTGTGATTTTTTAATGTAAAAAAATAATTATTACTAATAATGAAAAATCCTTGTTTTAGTTTACAAGTAATTATTGTCTACCGAATTATTTGAATTTTTTTTTATATAAGAAAAAAATAACATAGGCCTGCGAAAAAGGGAGTCAAAAATGTTTTTTAAGATGCAATAGTGATTTTTGGCGTAATTTTGTGCGCTGAATCCGAATCTGGCCGCCGAATTTGCGTAGGACGTCAGGTTTTTGAGTTATTTGTAGTTGAATAACCGAAAAATCGCTATTTTGGCCAATTTCATGAATTTATTGTGAGTAAACCAAATTTTTTGAAATATTTTTATTCAATGGCGTCGTATAGTACTCACCTTCATCTTTCGAATCCACTTTGGATTTACCGCCGCACGAGTTTTTTTCGCTCAGATATACAAGTCATAAGACTGGTCATGCATAGGGATCTAATAAACCATTCCAAATCAATCGTGCTACCTTTCTATCTTATCGCGAATCAAAATTTGGAAACATAAAAACATAAATTTGGAAACATAAAAACATAAATTTTTGGACGCCACTTATTATTTTTTTAAATGGTGGATCCAATATGGCGGATAGAATTACAATAAAAGACATGAAATGTAAAAAAATTCATTAAAATGTGTAACAACTGTATTAGATATATTTCTACAGGACTTTTTCGATAATCGAACCTGACAGATAAAGTTTTAAGATGGCGGATATGATACGGTTCTGCCATACTGATTCTTACACATAAAGTTTCTTTAATGTAAATTTTCTTATAACTTCATACTTGTATATCTCAGCGAAGAACAATCGTGCAGCGACAATCGAAAATATATTTGAAAGGTGAAGACTAATACTATACAATATCATTAGCAGAAATATTTTAAAAAATTAGATTCATCCGTAATAAATTCATGAAATTGACCGAAATAGCCATTTTTGGACTATTTAACTATAAATTACACAGGCCTGCAAAAAAGGGGGTCAAAATTTCTTTTTAAGATGTAATAGTGATTTTTGACGTAATTTTGTGCGCTGAATTCGAATCTGGCTTCCGAATTTGCGTAGCACGTCAGGTTTTTGAGTTATTTGTAGTTGAATAGCCGAAAAATCGCTATTTTGGCCAATTTCATGAATTTATTGTGAGTAACCCAAATTTTTTGAAATATTTCTGTCAATGGCATCATATAGTACTCACCTTCATCTTTCGAATCCACTTTCGATTACCGCCGCACGAGTTTTTTCGCTCAGATATACAAGTCATAAGTCTGGTCATGCATAGGACATCGAATAAGCCATTATAAATCAACCGTGCCACCTCTTTATTTTACTACGAATCAAAATTAGGATAAAAATATACATTTTTTAACCTTCTGTCACCTTTTGAAATTAAAAATGGCGCATCCAATATGACGAATAGAATCACAATAAAAAGGCATAAAATTTAGAAAAATGTATCAAAATATGTAACAACTGTATTAGATATTTCTTTACAATACTTTTTTGGACAACCGAATCTGACATATGTTAGTCTTTTCAACTTTTAACATCATGGATCTACCATATTGATGTCTATATAAATTTTCTTTAACGTAAATTTTCTTACAACGTCATACTTATATATCTCAGCGAAGAAAAATCGTGCGGCGGTAATCGAAAGTGGATTTGAAAGAAAGTATTATACGATGCCATTGGCAGAAATATTTCAAAAAATTTGGTTTCCTCGAAATAAATTTATGAGATAAATTTATGACAATTAGAAATTTGCCAAAATAGCGATTTTTGAGCAATTCAATTACAATTACTCAAAAACGTGACGTGCTACGCAAATTCGGCGGCCAGATTCGAATTCAGCTCACAAAATTACGTCGGAAATCACTATTTCATCTTAAAAAGAAAAACCTCGCAGGCCTGTGATATTAGATCGCCCTTTCTTTCCCTCTCTCCGTCCCTTGCATCAACGAGTTAATTCGACACGATGAGGGATATTGAGATCATGAAGCGCACTCTTTGATTAATATGCAGAAAAACTGCAAAAAGCCAAAGTACTCTTCGGAAAAGAAATAACTCGAGCCGACCTGGAGAAGCATCCGTTTCAACGATTTAGTCTTCAGTGCACGATTGTAACATTTTTAATTGCTCTTTTATCCGTACAATTATCTATGCAGTTCCATCTTTGCTTAATTTCTTATACTGATTTTTTCTTTATTTATTTTATATTGCCGTCAAGTTACTAATCTTACAATTGCAATTATTATTATTATTATTATTATTCCAGATTTAAAACCGTCATGAATAACGTCAAATAAAAGTAAAATGGTATATATAAAAGTGAAAAAAGAATTTAAAAGTGAGTTCCACGCCGGTCGCTGGCCGCATGAAATGTTTTATGCATCATCGATATCACGCCGTTAAACGAGAAGCGATCGCATTCGTCCGGCTGTGAACCTATTTTTTTTTTTTTCGTTCCTTTTTAAGCCACGCGAACGACGAGAGATATCGGCGCGTAAGCTCATTTTATCATACCGTATAAAACTTTCAAATTCGCCTTCGGTTGCACACAATGTCATGCAATTTGTGCACGGTCTTGACTGCGCCCGATCGATCGAATCTTTCATGCTTATCCGAAATCGGGGACACGCAGGAGCGAGTGTACCAGATCTACGGTTGTTCCATCGATACACGATAGCGAAATGCGATGGCGGCAAAGGAAAGAGAAAAGAGGGTGGGGCGAAGAGGGTTGAGAGATGAAAAGATCGAGTCCGCAGTAAACGCCGAGCTGCGTCTACCCAGGTCTGTCTACGGCATTTGAAATCCAAATAGGACCTCAAAAAGATTCAAATCCCGCGCAATCGAAGATGCACTACGTCGTATATTCTAAACGCCTATCCTTTTGCATTTCGCATACATCTTTCTCGCGAGCGAAACCTGGAGATTTCGGAGATTAGGCGCCGCCGATTGCATCGGATTTGGATCAGCGAATCGTCTCTATATATCGAGTCGTGTACTGATGAGATAGATTTTTAAATTGCAAAAGACACCCTGGAAATATATTTCGAGTTCCTGATGATGTACAGAATAGCCTCTTTCCAGGAAGAACTCTCGAAGATTTCTTCTTGAGAATATTATTTTTAGAGAGAGCAGTTTAAAAAATGTCAAAGAATATAAATTACAACGCGTTTTAATTATGAGTTTTTGACAAACTTTCTACAATCGGATGATGAAAAAAATATAAAAGAGATCTAACGGTAAAATAATTTATCTCGGTTAAAAGCGACATGTTCGATTATACGTATACCCGATTGCCAGAAGGTGAAAAGTAAATAACACTCGTAGTGTCTTATCGAAATCTCCGTAATATCTGCTTAAAACATTAACCGTCAAGTAATGAGTACCTTGATCGGCAACGAACTCTTTCATTATATCTGGTTAAAGTTGAACGATGGGTTGCCCTTACATGCCTTATAATTGCACTACTAACGTGCATTATGTCGTCCAATAAAGTTTTATAGCTACCTGATCACATATCTTCATATTTTTCCTACTTGTTTTATCATTTCTTTTCTGGAATCAATTATAATAATTTGCATCCACGGGGATTCGGAACGGAATAAATTGCTTATAGCTTCGCCGAAGATATCTCGCTTTGCGATCTCGCGATCTTTCTTTTTAATAAGACTTGATCCGTCGGAGATCACCGTTATTGATACAATTCGTGTATATTTTTCTCGTTTAGAATCCTAATATCTCAAAACAACAAACTTTCTCTTTCTGCATAAAAGCTAATTGTATGTATAACTTAATAAAGCTAATTGTATGCATAAATTGTATGTATAAAAAATAAATAATATAAATACAAACAAAGAATAAATTAACCAGACGCGGATTTACATTGTA